AGGCCAATACAACTGGCTACATATTTAATCATTGACAAAAGGAAAATCGTATGAGGAACCGCGATATTCAACACTGCCTGCACAATTGCACGTCTAATGTGTTTAAGACATCTCAACTGGCATGCTTGTTTGAACATAATATTGCACTTATGATGTAAAGCGCTTTACAAATGACACTTCATGTATGGAAGGAGTGTTTATTGAAAAAGGAAGAGCCCTAACGAGCTTTGTCCATTTTCAAAGAACACTCATGTCTTAGTGGTAAGCCCAAGCGAGCAGCGCTGCCTCCGATGCAGGGCTGGTAAAAGCATCTGTGAAGCGCAGCTCAGGGGTGTGACGTTTATTACCCTCATATTACTGTGCTTTAAGCAGCCCTTTCCTCTCTCTTGTAGTGGACCTAAATAATGCAATTTAAAAGGGAAAAGCACACCAAAAGACTTAAAGCGGTGACAGCTTGAGGAAAGTGATGTGTTGCTACTTGGCAGTCAGACATGACACAATGTCACACCCGAGACATAGAGAGACATCGGGGTGGAAACGGTATGTTTGTTCGAGGCTTTCAAGCGATTTACAGAGTTCTCGTGACATACTGTGCCCATAGTTGGTTACTATCACAAACACTTCATTCACATTTATTGATATTCTGTAATCTCACTATTGAACCATTTTAAGGCCCATGGCACACTGGCAATATTTTAAGCCATATATGACTCAGAAGAGCCTCTGTTTCTATACGAAAAATGCAATACAATACGATGACAACCTTCCGCCATCAACATTTTGGATTAGTACACGTTCTCGCCTAAATCTCACAATCAATGTACACATTATGATAGGACAGCAACCATCACTGCACCATGTACCTAACCACCCAGGCTTCTGTCATCGATGAATCAGTGTGCTGTATGTGTATAAAAAGCTGGATGGAAAAATGGCAAAGGCTTGTTGTGGGAATGTGGGAGGGGGAGACAAACCCAGGGGCTAATTATCCGGCACTGCCGTGGGTCTCTGAGGCATTGCACTCTGGCTGCCTCTATTCAAGCAACATTGCAGAGTTATGTGTAAAAGTAACTACAGTGTGAATGCAAAGGGCTAAAACTAAAAGGGATAGAGGAAGGTGGTGGTGGTTGGAAGGAGTGGGTGGGGATGAAAGTATAGGGTGGGGAAATCAGGCACCTCCATGGTGGTGCCACCGCCACCACAGCCAAAGCCAGGCGAGATGAGATGCCATGTATGCCACCTTTCTCTGTCTGTCTCTCTGCCTGTCTGTCTGAATGTATGTCTGTCTGCCTGCCTGTCTGTCTGATCGGCTTCACCTTGACAGCTGTTTATAGGGACGATAGTGAATATGGTAAGGGTGGGCGAAAGTGTGGCTGACGATCACTTTCGATAAGTTGTGAAGTAACATATCAGGCATTGTAGTGTTCAAACCATCACAATGCTCAAAAATAGAATGTTCAGGAAAGGATTAAGAAATACATTTTTGACACAAGGTTCTCTCAGAAATTGTTGAGACACCATTTTCAATTTGGGCAAACAAATTGGTGGAGCTTCTTCGTTCTGTTTTAAATAACTTCCACCGCCTCCAGTTTGCAATAGTACTGCAAATGTTGAAACATACTGATTTACATTTTTGAGTGAGAAAAATCGGTGACGTCTTGACACGTTGTTTTATGAAAGAAAGCCTCATTAAAAAATGTAAAGAACTTTAGCCATTTTTATATTCAAATTAAGATGAAAAGTTCATTAAAGAGGATAAATATTTTATTAGATGCCAAATAAAACAGAGATTTTTTGTGCTTCTCTCAGCATTAAATTCCTTTGAAAGATTAATTAATACATGTAAATTATGCAAAATATGCCCATGCAAATATTTTATGAAGACAATTAAGGGATCCATTAATTACGGTATTTTTTGCTTCACTGACATTCATTCATTTAATTGTAATTTCACTTTAACGGTTTGGATGTTTAATCTCGCAACAAATAACTTTATGTCCCAGCGCAGGGTCGTGTAAACTTGCCGAACACATCGAAGGGCAAGCAGGCGGGAACCAAAGAGGAGATACTGGGAACGATATTTATGTGCACTCCGTCGCCATGGCGTTAAAGTCAGGAGAGAGCTGCAGTCCCAGTAGCACGGCTGCCTGCTAGCTGCTAAAACAGCCAGAGCTCACTCTTGGAACCAATTTAAAAAACACTGCAAAAGCAATTAATAGACACAGATTGTGTTAATATCTCAGAATTAGAGAAGTGTGACAAAAGACAAATATAAATAATGAGTTCTCTGTACAATTATGCTCTTGTAATTTTTGGTCTCTCTTTCTCGCCCTCGGCTGAGTTGTGAGATGAAAATACAACATACATTTCTCTTGGCTTTTATCCATGTGATAGGGTTGGGTGTTTTTTTCCGCGTCTTCTTTGCTTGTGTAATTTATCAACATGATTGTTTTGCCTTTGAGGGTAATTACTGTATACTAGGCTGGTAGCAGAGGAGAGGAGAGCAGAGGAGTCATGGGTGACAGACAAATGGCGATCTAGTTTAACAAAAGCACACATTGTTCCGTGTTAACACGACCTCCTCCTGAGTCTATTCTCCAAGTCCATTATCACTGGCATTGTGAGTCCTAGAAATGACACACTTCATAGCTACACTATAGCATATGATATATTATTGTATCATCGTTATCATATTATTATATATTATTCAACTGTGAGTAAGGCATCTGCTATATAGCCAAATTGTATCTGAACATGAGAGAAAATATGTATCTTTAGTGTCTATGACAATGTACCATGGTAATGGTTGCTACATGGCAATGACAAAGCTATGTTTCTGATCACATACAAAGAAAATGGTAATGCAATATAATAAGGAAGTGTGAAAAGTTAAGCCTCCAGTTAATACAGTATAACAATTAAACTATAAAGTGCTGTTTAATGTAAATCTACAATTTTCCAATTTCAAATTAAGGACACTTAATATACTAATTTAGTATGAAATGGGGGACTATAAATGTTCTCTATCCAGAAGTAAATATTTTTGGTGAAATTATGACATATGGTTGACCTTTTTTGGACAGCAACCCTTTTCACATCTCTCCAAACTTCATAGCGATTTTGTCACGACTTCCGCCGAGGCTGCCTCCCCTCCTTGTTCAGGCAGGTTTCGGCGTTCGTCGTCACCGGCTTACTAGCTACTGCCGATCCCATTCTCATCACTCTACTTGTCATGTCTTGTCTTGTCAATCACACACACCTGGTGCTCATTCCCCTAATTAGTATGTGTATAAGTGTTCCCTCTGTTCCCCTTTTCTTTGTGAGGGTTTTCATTGTGAGAGCGAGTAGCTCGGTTGAGCTACTCTTCCATTTGTTATTGCCAAGGTGGAATATTTCCCTTGTGATAGTTTCGTTTTGACGCTTGGTGCGTTTTATTTATGTAAACGGAATCAACTCTGGACTTTGGTGTTTTACCTCCTGCGCCTGACTCCTTCATTCACACCTCATCACAGATTTACTGTGTAATCTTTGTATTTTACAGGGAAAATTGAGACTTCTGTCAGTGATAAAGCGGTGATGATAGGGAGGAGAGGGAAAGGAAGAGAGGGGAGACGCTGTTGGGGATTATTAGAGGAAGACGTTATGATACTTATGAAGAAGTGAGAGGTGTCGTGTTCTTGGGTAAACAGACTTCCTCTCGTGGAAGAAGGAGGGGGTGGTGATAACTTCTGAAGACTATCCACCGTCTGGGTCTGCATCCCAAATGGCACTCTCTTCCCTACGTAGTGCACTACTTTTGATGAGGGCCCTATGTGCCCTAGTCAAAAGTAGTGCACTACAAAGGGAATAGAGTGCCATTTGGGATGCAACCCCAGACGGTGGATAGTCTTCAGAAGTTATCACCACCCCCTCCTTCCTCCATGAGACCCCACAAGGCAAACAAACAAACAAGCCATTAAAATGCACATACTGTAACAGAGCTTATTCATAAAATAAAGTGGATCTTAAGAGGTAAACAAACAAGTCATATACACTATGCACTTACAGTACACACACGGGTGCATGTACACAGACACGCATGCACGCTTACAAGTGCGTGCACACACACACACACACACACACACACACACACACACACACCTACTTGTCACTGAAATTGACTTATACGTGCTGATACTTTCAATGTAATATTATATCTCTTCTTATTACCCCTTTAACCCTAGTTTACTGTAACAAAAGTTATTGGAATCTTCATTCAGATCCAGGCAGAGAAGACTGTTCATAAAATTAATACTGTTAGTTAAGAAATTAAGAATTAAAATAGGCTTTTTATATAGGAACAGCTCCTGTCTTTCGTTAAATAGTAGAAAACAAATAATTCAGTCAACAGTCATTCCGGTTATTGACTATGGGGATATCGTCTATATGAATGCAGCTGCCACTGTATTGAAGCCATTTGACGCAGTTTATCATAGCACATTGAGCTTTAATACGGGCGATAGGTTCAGTACACATTTTGTATCAGAAAGTTGGCTGCCCTTCTTGAAGTCTCGTAGATAGATGTATTTTTTGTATTTGCTTTTCATGTATTGTGTAAATGATGTGTATGTATTGGTTATTATTATTATTTATTATTTGTGTATTCATGCAGGGCTCATCTGCGAAAGAGACCATGGTCTCAGCATGACCCCTGCTTAAATAAAGGTTAAAAACACAAACACACACACACACCTTGTATCATTCCCAGCATTAAAAGGTGCAGTCATTTACAGTCTAAAACCATATCTCTCCTTTAACAACACTTATGATTATGATTTATTGATTTATTTTTAGGTTACGCAAAAACCTTCCTGCTTGGAAAAATCTAAACAGTCAATCCAAACTGTTCATGGCATATGTGAGTGCCATACTTCCCTCCCTATAATAAAATACTAATATTATGTCTGGTGAAGGCCATGCGATCTTGACCCAGTGCTGTGCCCCAGATGGCAAGCTGTTAGTTACACTAATGCTCAAATAGAGAAGGAGAAAGGGGGGCAGACAGATGAAGAATGATAAATAGAGAGATGAAGTGAGAGAAGAGCGAGAGAGGGAGTGAAACAGGAAGAGAGAGAGAGAGAGAAAGAGAGTGAGAGAGAGCAAGACAGAGAGAGAGAGAGAGAGAGAGAGAGAGAGAGAGAGAGAGAGAGAGAGAGAGAGAGAGAGAGAGAGAGAGAGAGAGGAGAGAGAGAGAGCGATATCTAGAGTAGAGAGCTATCGCTAGAGTAGACGAGAGAGAGAGAGAGAGAGAGAGAGATTTATGTTCTCCTCAGGTTCATGTACCTTGTATTGTCCTCTCAGCATCTGTTCTTCCAGCGCTGCGGTCACTCTCCGTCTCTGGGGTCAGTGAGTCTGAGAGAGCAGAGGGATAGAACAGAACTGCTGTTAAACATCCTTCACATGGAGCAGCCACACTAAAAGTTTTCACAGAAAAACTCAATTGGCTGTAAGTGAAAAACAATATTTCACTTGTTTATTTGAAAAAGAATGGATACAATAACACGTTAAATGATTCAACAGTCAGATGCCCTGCTGCACCATGATTTAGCTTACTCTAACTTACAAAATGTAAAGACAATAACTCAATAACACTATGTGAGTTCTTACCACAACACTGTGATTGAGTGTAACTGCAATCTATTGTGTCTTTAGCTAGGGCTCAAAGCAAAGGAGAGGAGGGAAGAGGAGAGGAGAGTACAGTCCAGTACAGTACAGTGGAGTACAGGACAGTACAGTACAGTACAGCACTATATGATCCCCAAGTAGAAAATGTATTTGCTGCAAACTGTGAAATACATACAGAAAACATATGGATACATGAAAGTTTTTTTATTTTTTTTATTTTAGACACTATTTTTACTTTACTGCTGCTGTCTGTTTCTCTTATCTCCTCCATTCTTTTTTGTTTCATTGTAAAGTGTGTTGCGATTTTAAATGCACTTTAAATAAAGATTGATTTGATTTTTAAGTAGAGTGTAACATAAACAGTTAATAAAAAACACAACTAACCATTGAGTGAGCGCAGGCCTTCTGAGCATGAGGGCGGTTTAAGGGACTGCTCGGCCTGCTCCCTCCTCTTGGACTCGTACTCCAGAGCTTCCTGAAGTTTCCTCTTAGCCTTCTTCTCCTTCTTCAAGCGCTTCTGGATTATTGCTGAGGGAAAAGAAAGAAAAGGACAAATGCTCCTGTCTCAGCCTCCAGTATTTATGCTGCAGTAGTTTATGTGTCGGGGGGCTGGGGTTAGTTGGTTATACCTGGAGTACTTCTCCTGTCTTATCCAGTGTCCTGTGTGAATTTAAGTATGCTCTCTCTAATTCTCTCGTTCTCTCTTTCTCTCTGAGAACCTGAGCCCTAGGACCATACGTCAGGACTACCGGGCATGATGACACCTTGCTGTCCCCAGTCCGCCTGGCCTTGCTGCTATTCCAGTTTCAACTGTTCTGCCTGCGGCTACGAAACCCCTACCTGTCCCAGACCTGCTGTTTTCAACTCTTAATGATCGGCTATGAAAAGCCAACTGAGAGACCTGAGCCCTAGGACCATACGTCGGGACTACCGGCCGTGGTGACTCCTTGCTGTCCCCAGTCCGCCTGGCCTTGCTGCTATTCCAGTTTAAACTGTTCTGCCTGCGGTTATGGAACCCCTACCTGTCCCAGACCTGCTGTTTTCAAACTCTTAATGATCGGCTATGAAAAGCCAACTGAGATTTATTCCTGATTATTATTTGACCATGCTTGTCACTTATGAACATTTTTGAACATCTTGGCATGGTTCTGTTATAATCTCCACCCGGCACAGCCAGAAGAGGACTGGCCACCCCTCATAGCCTGGTTCCTCTCTAGGTTTCTTCCTAGGTTTTCGCCTTTCTAGGGAGTTTTTCCTAGCCACCGTGCTTCTACACCTGCATTACTAGCTGTTTGGGGTTTTAGGCTGGGTTTCTGTACAGCACTTCGAGATATTAGCTGATGTAAGAAGGGCTATATAAAATAAAATTGATTGATTGATTGATGTATCAAACTACTTTTATTTAACCCTTTTCTATCCAAGCAAGTCAATTAGGAATAAATTGTTATTTACAAAGACTTGGCAAGTGGCCATTGTGGTAAAAGACAAGAGAAACTTGACAAAACTACAGGGCAGAAACATGTGGCAAACAACAGAGTTGAAACTGAGTTTGCACTTTGCGGAAAATGTAAGATGTTTTTAAGGTAACATTTTGCCTGAAATTCTATCATGGGACACTCGCTCAAAATCATGAATTGATGTCAAAGGGAGATTGAGAACACTTGTGCTGGAAATTACACTTTGCCTGAATTCTTAGCAAATTATATTGAATTCAAAGCAGCAAACTGCTGGAGGGACTTAGAAAATTGTTTTATGTAATTGGCTCATTAAATAATAGAGTATTTTATTAAATTTGCACAGCACTTTATATAACACAAGCGTGTTAACTTAAGTTTTATTTGTGTCACTTTTGTTTAGAATGATGATGAATCATTCATTTCGATAATTCAATATGTATCCATAATTAGCTGATCCCTCGCAGTGGTGGGGGCCAATACTAAGTGGTTCATTGGAAGCAGTGGCACAGAAACACACAGCAGTTTTCTTATGTATGTTTGACCATGTTCATTATTTAGATGTGTGTGTTAAAGTGTTTTAATGAGCTCTGAAGCATGCATACCTCTGTCAAACCACAGACACACACACACGCACCCTCTCTCAGTCCGTACCTCTGTTCTTCTGTTCGATAGCGAGCTGTTTCTCTAGGGTCTCCCGGAGCTCTCTTTCCCTGAACAGCTCCATCTTTAGCTCCGTCTTCTCCAGCTGCACCTGCTTCTCCTGGGCCCGCGCGTTGTCAATCGCAACTTTCAGCAGGCCCTGCACACACACACACACACACACACACACCAGTTAGTACAAACACACACACACACACACACACAGACACTTGCACAAATGTAAACACAAACACACACCCAAACACACACGAAGACATGTACGAGTACAAATACACACGCGCAAACACACACACACACACACACAAACACACAATTCAGAATTGAATTCAGATTTGAATAGAGAATGCCTCATCAATTCTTGAATTTGAATTGAAGTATTTTTATTTAACCTTTATTTCAACAGGGAGTCATGCTCAGACCCAGGTCTCGCTCACAGATGAGCCCTGCATACACATCAATACACATCAATACAGGAGGCACCTCAGAGGAGGAAGAGGAGGACCATCCTACTCAGTGAATTTCAGAAAAATTTAAAATAGTGAAACATTAAAAAACATATCGTTTTTAGATAAAACTATACTAAATATATTCACATCACCAAATAACTGACTGAAACACACTGTTTAGCAATGGTATACATTAGCCTCAACAGCACTCTAGGGTAGCAAAGCTATTTTCTGTCCTCCTCTGGGAACATTGACTTCAATACAAAACCTAGGAGGCTCATGGTTCTCACCCCCTTCAATAGTAATTATGATTACTTCTGAAGGACGTCCTCCAACCTATCAGAGCTCTTGCTGTATGAACTGACATGTTGTCCATCCAATCAAGGATCAGATAATGAATCTATTACTGAAAGCATAAGCTACAGCTAACAAGCACTGCAGTTTATAAAGTGTTGTGAGTAGTTGACTCAAAGAGAAAGACAATAGGTTGAACAGTTTTGACCAAATACATATCTTCAAAAATCAAGGAGAAGCAACAGAGAGAGAGAGAGAGAGAGAGAGAGCTAGCTATATTTCATTGTATTTTTTTCTCCTTCTTAGTTTAACTTTTACTTACTTAGCTAATGCAGCTAATTTATCCTAACGTTACTCAACAACCTGACTCAAAACAGAGAAGAATACTATTTATGTTAGCTAGCTGGCTAAGGCTATCCAACGCTGCAACTCTCCAAGTCAAGGTAAGCCTGCCGGTGTAAATGCTAAACAGCTTGCTCTACACTGTACTGCGTGATTGTTCACATGGATTGTGGGTTTACTAAAGTGTTAGTTCTAGTTTGTTGACTATAACGTTAATATGGTGACAATGATGTAGGCTGTGTAGCAGTTAGCGGTTATGGTATGAAGGTTTGGCTTGGAGAGGTTTTTGCACCTGGTCACAGACAGCAAGTCCTCAAGCGAAGGAAAAAAAGTGAGAGGAGGAGAGCACATAGATGTGAGAGGAAATTATACAACGAGTACAGTAATGATGCTGTATGTGGCTGCTATGAAAGTGAACTGTGTGTGAGGCTAATCAGGGGTGTATTCATTCTGCCGTTTTTTTTGCAAAACGTTTCTTAAACGGAAGCAAACGGAACGAAACGGGAAAGGACCTGACTGAATTTGTCAAATAGAAACTCTCATTTTAGTTGCAAAACGGAACTGTTTAGACTAATAATTACATTATTGAATGTGTCACCTTGATTACTCCAATGTGTCTCTTGACCTGTGCAACTACATTATAAACTTTCATTTGTAGGCTAAGTTGTAGCAACCTCATGATGGATATAGGGCAAATTCGAGTATCATGTAGTAGCCTAAACCTATCGATGTTACATTGAGCTGGTTGAATGGAATATGAAGGACAGTCATCCAATATGCTGTAATAGAAATAAGGCCATACTCATTAAAAAAAACAAATCGTCCTCCCTAATCTTAAACAGCACCGACTGCCACTGATTAATATACACTGCACACCTCACTATACACATCCATATACACATCAATATTCACATCAATATTCACATCAATACACAAAAAACTAAACACAATCATAGAAAACAATCACATTTTTCAGTAAAAAGGTCCTCAATCAGCGTTTTAATTGCCCTAAAGGCACCAATTCATCCAACTTTAGAATGCCTTGGAGACCATCCACAAGCAAGGTGCAAAAAAACAAAAATCAAGGATCTCCAGAGTTAGCCACTCCTGAGACCGAGTCTGGTATCTCAAACGTTAACAATGAAGTATGGTACAGTAGAAGTTTATGCAGAAGGGCTATATAAACAAAAAGAGTGCAATGCATCAATCTGACTTTGCTGAAAGCTACTTTATTGTGGGAAAATGTACTGACTATGACTGTGATACAGTGGGGGAAAAAAGTATTTAGTCAGCCACCAATTGTGCAAGTTCTCCCACTTAAAAAGATGAGAGAGGCCTGTAATTTTCATCATAGGTACACGTCAACTATGACAGACAAATTGAGATTTTTTTTCTCCAGAAAATCACATTGTAGGATTTTTTATGAATTTATTTGCAAATTATGGTGGAAAATAAGTATTTGGTCACCTAAAAACAAGCAAGATTTCTGGCTCTCACAGACCTGTAACTTCTTATTTAAGAGGCTCCTCTGTCCTCCACTCGTTACCTGTATTAATGGCACCTGTTTGAACTTGTTCTCAGTATAAAAGACACCTGTCCACAACCTCAAACAGTCACACTCCAAACTCCATTATGGCCAAGACCAAAGAGCTGTCAAAGGACACCAGAAATAAAAATTGTAGACCTGCACCAGGCTGGGAAGACTGAATCTGCAATAGGTAAGCAGCTTGGTTTGAAGAAATCAACTGTGGGAGCAATTATTAGGAAATGGAAGACATACAAGACCACTGATAATCTCCCTCGATCTGGGGCTCCACGCAAGATCTCACCCCGTGGGGTCAAAATGATCACAAGAACGGTGAGCAAAAATCCCAGTACCACACGGGGGGATCTAGTGAATGACCTGCAGAGAGCTGGGACCAAAGTAACAAAGCCTACCATCAGTAACACACTACGCTTCCAGGGACTCAAATCCTGCTGTGCAAGACGTGTCCCCCTGCTTAAGCCAGTACATGTCCAGGCCCATCTGAAGTTTGCTATAGTGCATTTGGATGATCCAGAAGAGGATTGGGAGAATGTCATATGGTCAGATGAAACCAAAATATAACTTTTTGGTAAAAACTCAACTCGTCGTGTTTGGAGGACAAAGAATGCTGAGTTGCATCCAAAGAACACCATACCTACTGTGAAGCATGGGGGTGGAAACATCATGCTTTGGGGCTGTTTTTCTGCAAAGGGACCAGGACGACTGATCCGTGTAAAGGAAAGAATGAATGGGGCCATGTATCATGAGATTTTGAGTGAAAACCTCCTTCCATCATCAAGGGCATTGAAGATGAAACGTGGCTCGGTCTTTCAGCATGACAATGATCCCAAACACACCGCCCGGGCAACGAAGGAGTGGCTTCGTAAGAAGCATTTCTAGGTCCTGGAGTGGCCTAGCCAGTCTCCAGATCACAACCCCATAGAAAATCTTTGGAGGGAGTTGAAAGTCCGTGTTGCCCAGCGACAGCCCCAAAACATCACTGCTCTAGAGGAGATCTGCATGGAGGAATGGGCCAAAATACCAGCAACAGTGTGTGAAAACCTTGTGAAGACTTACAGAAAACGTTTGACCTGTGTCATTGCCAACATAGGGTATATAACAAAGTATTGAGTAACTTTTGTTATTGACCAAATACTTATTTTCCACCATAATTTGCAAATAAATTCATTAAAAATCCTACAATGTGATTTTCAGGATTTTTTTTTCTCATTTTGTCTGTCATAGTTGACGTGTACCTATGATGAAAATTACAGGCCTCTCTCATCTTTTTAAGTGGGACATGCACAATTGGTGGCTGACTAAATACTTTTTTCCCCCACTGTATGTGGTTTTGCCACCTAGCTATCTTAAGATGAATGCACTAACTGTAAGTCACTCCGGATAAGAGCGTCTGCTAAATGACTAAAATGTAAAATGTAAACCTAAATCTATGAGACTTCAGACAGGGCCAGCCTACTTTCTGATCCAGAATGCAGTGATCGCCTATACCTATCTCCCGTAATAAAGCGTAGTGCGCTATGAGTAGAGTAGAGAGTAGAGTATTACTTTATTAATCCCAACTTGGGAAATTGTTTTATCACAGCATACATCATCAATGACTTACAATAACAGGACACGCAACAATGACCAACACATTATAAACAACAACAAATACAGTATTAAGACACATGAACTCCTTACTCCTGAGTGGCGCAGTGGTCTAAGGCACTGCATCGCAGTGCTAACTGTGCCACTAGAGATCCTGGTTCGAATCCAGGCTCTGTCGCAGCCGGCCGCGACCAGGAGACTAATGGGCGGCGCACAATTGGCCCAGCGTCGTCTAGGGTAGGGGAGGGAATGGCCGGCAGGTATGTAGCTCAGTTGATAGAGCATGGCGTTTGCAACGCCAGGGTTGTGGGTTCGATTCCCACGGGGGGCCAGTATAAAAAAAATAATATATGTAATCACTAACTGTAAGTCGCTCTGGATAAGAGCGTCTGCTAAATGACTAAAATGTAAAAAATAAATAAATAAATGTAAACATGAAGGCAGAAATGCACCATAGTATCCATAAAAGTCTGAATCAAATGCTGTTTTCTACCCTACTCTGGGGGAAAACAAGCAACAACATTGTTAAATAGGAAGACAGTTTCTCAATTACACTCGATAAAAAGCCTCATGGCTGTGGGTAAAAATGACAGTCTAAACCTCTCTGTGGAACTTCTAGGCAGGATGAACCTGCTACTGTGTTGCATTAGAGTGCTGTGGATTGGGTGTGTGTCATTGTCCATGATCATGTGTGTTTTTGCTTGCAGCCTTTTTATGAACATGTCCTGCATTGATTCCAGGCTGCAGCCAATTGTAGCACTGGCTTTCTTGATGAATTTGTCAAACTTGTTTAAGTCCTCTTTAGCTAAATTCCCTTTCCAGCACACAATGGCATAGGTAACTACACTC